GCTGCCTGAGGCAAACATCAAGATGGCTACTCCTTCACATTTCATGTACAAAAACTAACCAGATTGGCAGCAAGTGAACCTTCCTTAAGCACTGGTGATGGGACAGTGTCTTCTACTACATCTGAGTAGCTCACACAAAGCTCTGTCTTCCACCATTTGCCACCCAAGGCAGCCGCCTCACTCTGCCTCATGGTAGGGTCGGCGTTGTGTAGCCTGCTCAGTGCCAATTTAAATGCATCACAATAAGAGTCCTGGTTCCTTTCTCCGAGCTGGTCAGCTCCCGTCCGCCTTGAGAGACAATGTACCGCACCTCCGCTGGTGAAGTCAAACCGCTAGCGGCACGTCAACACCAGTTTCAAGTCTCTGTTCCTCAACAGACAAAAGCCCGCCCTCGCTAAAAGTTTGCTGCGACGAGAAGCGGAGACTGGTAGGACCCCGCCATGTTCCGACTTTGCAGAAGAAAAGATTTCAAAATTCTAAAAGGAACAAAGTGCTGAATTGAAAGTAGTAATTAAATGCCATATGTTAGCACTAACACGTAGGGGAAAGAAGTTGCTAATTAATTCAGGCAGATTTAGATCCAGGTGTGACACGGACAGATTGCACGCTTGGGGTTTTTGCAGACTTACAAACAGGGATTTAAAATTTCTCCCTTTTTCCTCCCCCTCGTCCACCCGCTCGGAATATATTATTAAAAAAACACACACACAAAACAACAACAACCCTTTGATTTATAGAAAAGCTGTTAACTCTTTCCATATGAGTAAAAGCGGCTTATACATCAGCACCCATGTTTACAAATAGATTTCAAGATCTGTTTAGGCCAGACCGATTCTTCCTTTGACCCCCCCAGCTTGAATGCAAGCATGTCTTGAGCTGCACCAGCGGAGAAACATGTTCTTTGGGGTCATCTGGTTTCATGGTGACATCAAGTGATGGACAGCTCTGCCCACCTGCCAGGAGGGCCACTGGGGGGTGTGGGGGAGCTCAGAATAAAGCGTGCCGGCCAAATTCTGTTCCTCATTCCCAAATTGGGAGTGCATCCTGAGAACACAAGGAAGGAGGATGCAAGACAGTCCTACCTTCTGCAGCTACAATTTCAGGCTTTTGCACATGTGGAATAGTAATACTACTACTAGTAGTAGTAGTAATAATAAAAATCATCATCATCTTTATACCCCGCCCCTCTGACTGGGTTGCCCCAGCCACTCAGGGCAGCTTCCAACAAATATAAAAACATAAAAGGACCCCTGGATGGTTAAATCCAGTCAAAGGAGACTATGGGGTTGCAGCGCTCATCTCGCTTTCAGGCTGAGGGAGCCGGTGTTTGTCCACAGACAGCTTTCCGGGTCATGTGACCAGCAGGACTAAACCACTTCTGGGGCAACGGAACACTGTGACGGAAACCAGAGCGCACAGAAACACCACTTACCTTCCCGCTGCAGCGGTACCTATTTATCTACTTGCACTGTGGTGCTTTCGAACTGCTAGGTTGGCAGGAGCTGGGGACAGATCAATGGGAGCTCAACCTGTCACGGGAATTCGAACCGCCAACCTTCCGATCGGCAAGCCCAAGAGGCTCAGTGGTTTATACCACAGCGCCACCCGCGTTCAACAAATACAGAAACAAAATGAAACATCAAAAGGCTTCCCTATACAGAGCTGCCTTCAGATGTCTTCCAAAGGTTCTATAGTTACTCATCCCCTTGATATCTGAGGGGAGGGTGTTCCACAGGGCACCACTACCAAGACGGCCCTCAGCCTGCTTCCCCATAACTTCACTTCTCACAGTGAGGGAGCAGCCAGAAGGCCCTCGGAGCTGAATCCCAACGCCCGGGTTGAACAATTGGGGGGCGGGGGTATACAGGCCTGAGGCTGTTTAGGAAAGACTATTAACAGAGACATCACTTTGCCAACAAAGGCCCGTATAGTTAAAGCTATGGTTTTCCCCGTAGTGACATATGGAAGTGAGAGCTGGACCAAAAAGAAGGCTGATTGCCGAAGAATGGATGCTTTTGAATTATGGTGCTGGAGGAGACTCTTGAGAGTCACATGGACTACAAGAAGATCAAACCTATCCATTCTGAAGGAAATCAGCCCTGAGTGCTCACTGGAAGGACAGATCCTGAAGCTGAGGCTCCAGTACTTTGGCCACCTCATGAGAAGAGAAGACTCCCTGGAAAAGACCCTGATGTTGGGAAAGATTGAGGGCACAAGGAGAAGGGGACGACAGAGGCGAGATGGTCGGACAGTGTACTCGAAGCTACCAACATGAGTTTGACCAAACTGCGGGAGGCAGTGGAAGATAGAAGTGCCTGGCGTGCTCTGGTCCATGGGGTCACGAAGAGTCGGACATGACTAAATGACTAAACAACAACAATCAACAGTTACCAGGTGTGATGGCTGTGTCTTACTTCTACTATTGGAGGCAGTCTGCTGGCTTCCATCCCTTCTCCTCCCATTGCACCTGCCCCAAATCTTTTCTGGAGGTGATTTCCCCCAATGTGGGAAACTCAACTGCATAATTTATGGAGTGTCAAAGAGAGGAAAAGGAAATTCCGTTGCCTACGAAGAAGCTCGTTGTATAGGGTGATCTGGAGCATGGGCTAGGGCTCATCATATCAAGCTGCACTTTCAGATAGCACAAATGTGTGTTTGAGGGGTGGGGCTAGCTTAATTGGTGGCTGGCATGCCTGGAGGAAGCCCGCCCCCAAGATCATTCCCCCTGCCCACAGCTGGAGTTACACCTGGAGCAACTTTACGAAATACTTGGCAATACTTCACCAATGCCAACAACAATAAAAACAAGTCAGACAATTAACAATCTTGGACGGGTCAGCGAGCCAGCGTTGCAAACATGCTAGCCACAATACAGTTAAAAAAACAAACATTTTTGCATTTTTGGTGCTGTCAAAACGGACAGCACAAAGACTTAATATTCTTCTGAACTTCACAGGATCCATGGAGAAATGAGAAAATGGGAAGCACCATAATTAACCCCCCTCCTCCCCCAAAAAAGAGAAAGAAGAAGAAAGAAAGAACTCCTCTCTTAACTCTGCAGAGAGATTTAGGGCCCAGTCATCATTTACATTTGCAGGTATTTAAATCTCTAAGTGCATGGCTTCTGCCCTGATTACTAATTAATGAAGAGCAAAGTTGCCTGCTGGAAGGAAGCGGCTATGATTATTTCTGCCATGAGGGAAAAGCAAAGTTCTTGCAATCTAAGAAGGCAGGAGATTTCTTTGACATGCCTCTTAGCAAATTATAGGAATCAAGGGGCCAAGCAAGGCTAGATTAAAAACCAAACATGCCACGGCAGCCGTGCCGCTCCTTGCAGAGTGCTGCTTGGCACAATTCAGACTCATTTAAGCTCGCTGCATGTTTTGCATGTCACAGAGATCCCCCCCAATCAATAGGGCTGCCTTTGACCTGATTTCTGTCCTGCTTTGTGCAACCTGGAGGGAGGAAAGCCAAGGCAAGGTGAATCTGAACAGTGGAGGCTGGTCTCTGAGGGAAAAAAATCTGGCATTGCCTCACCAACCTCAGTTCTTACAGTCAGCCAGGGTGTGGCTCTGCCTGACATTGGCTCTGGCGCCATCTACTGTTGGTCTCCCTGCCTTCCAACCTTGTTGTTGTTTAGTCGTTTAGTCACGTCCGACTCTTCGTAACTCCATGGACCAGAGCACGCCTGGCACTTCTGTCTTCCACTGCCTCCCGCAGTTTGGTCAAGACAGGAGTGCCGGCGTGCTCTGGTCCATGGGGTCACGGAGAGTCGGACACGACTAAACGACTAAACAGCAACACCAAGTAGCCAGTACTGGAGTTTAGAAAGCCTATGAATTCTGAATTCTTTGCTCATAGGAAGAGCCACTTGGAGAGCGTTACCCACCCCCAGTTTTTTAAAAATATTACATATCACCCACAGGCACCAACTCTATGGGGCCCTGGTCCCTTCAGCCCCCTCCTTAAAATATTTTTTGGGGGCAGCCACCCAATAGTTTCTCCAAGTTTCAGGATACTTGAGAAAACATTTTATATTTTAATTTTAGCAGACTTGGAACTTAACCTTATTTATGAGGTGGCCAAGTGTTTATGAAGTGTTTGTGATCAGGTGTACAATAATTTCCCAGGGGTCTGCAGCCTGCCCACCCCACACTATATCAAAGCCTTGTGATCTCCTTAGCTGGGCTTTCCCATAAATGTGGGCACAAACAAACTCACAAACATCCTTTGGCCACCTCAAAGGTAACAACAGCAACAACATAAACCCCACATTCTAGCCATGAGAATTTTTACAAAACTCTGCCTCTTGCTGATTCCCAAATGCAGTGTCTCATTACTTGATGGGAAATGGTCAAAAGGAGACGAAGAAATTTTCTCAGGGAAGTGATTGACTAGAGGACAATTGCATCAACACTCATATTGCCATAGCATACGGGTCATCCCGGTGATTCCGTCCTTTGAATCTTTCCTTCTTCTTTGTGGAGGCAAATGGGAGTTCAAGAGAGGCCTGTGTTTTCTCTAGGCCTGATACAGTGTCATGAATGGGGCCACCAAGCGTGTAACGAGAACATAGCAAGAACGTAATAAGAGTCCTCCTGGATCGGGCCAAAGGTCCATCTAGTCCAACATCCTCTTCTCACATTGACCAACCAGATGCCTATGGGAAGGTTGCAAGCAGGGCCCTAGCCCAACAGTGTTCTCCCCACTTGTGACTGCCAGAAGAGGCCAAAGGCAGCCATCATAGCTAGTAGCCATTGACAACCTTGTGTTCCATGAAACCATTCAAGTTGGAGAGCATCGCTACCACTTGTGGAAGCAAATCCCATAGTTTAACAAACAACACAGCTTGTTCTTCCCAATCCCCAAGGAGGAGGAGGAGAAGGAGGAGAAGAAGGAGAAGGAGAAGGAGAAGGAGAAGGAGAAGGAGAAGGAGAAGGAGAAGGAGAAGGAGAAGAAGACAGGGCAACATTTAAGTATGAAACAGGTTGACCACCTACCGTTGGATTTTTCACTATCTGCCGGTTTCATCTGAATGGGATGATGCATCTGGAAACAACAGACAACAAAAAGAAAAAAGAAAGTAAAGCGGGTTGGAGTGCCACAAGTCAAACATGCTTAATTTTTCATTGGCTTTGGACGTGTTGTAGCCATTGGGGGGAGTTACGTGGGAGGCACGATCAATACTTAGTAGGGAGCAGTTGTAGCTCACTGGCAGAACACATCTCGACCGTGTCAGACAGTCCTCGATCCAAACCATGGCATCGCCTAAACGTACTGGGTAGAACGGCTAGGAAAGAAGCCTGTGTGATACTCTAATCAGCTCGTGCCTGTCAGCATAAACATTATTTAGCTAGATAGGACAGAGATTCAATCCACAGTATATTATTTAACAGGCTAGCAATCCAAAAGGCATCAGTTCCAAGCACCGTCGGTTTTTCTGCTAAAAGGAAACATTAACAGATTGGTTTAACAGCTAGCAAGCTTTTAAAAAGCTCAAATTATCATGCCCACAAGACTCATCCTAACAGATCGGGTTTCAATACTCTGATTATTGTTATTATTACCCACTGAGGGTCAATACCGGCCTTATTTGCACAAGCAAATTGGCATGTTAGGAATGCAGATTGAGTGGTTCTGAACAGATTTCGGTATGTACCTAAGCGGCATTGTGATTCATTGTTTTATCGCCCATTCAATGATCCATTGACTACTTTGGTTCATATGTTTTGGAGCAGTCCCAAAATAGGCCCATTTTGTAAGGAAGGAAAATGTACAGTCATATTATCTTGGTTTTATAATCCAAGCTGTCCTATACATTTTTAAGAGCAAAGAACAACCACCCTAATTTTAGAACAAACACCACCATATTTACTCTTCTACAGGGAAGTAAAGTTAGGGTTGCCATATTTCAAGAAGTCTTTTGCTTTGGGGGGGGGGGGGGCTAAACTCACACTTGAAATAAATACACAGCTGTTGCCCGGGGCCAGCAGTGCAGTGCACTTGCTGAGGCCTGCACCCAACAGAGGACCCTCTGCCATCTCCTGCAGCCTCCTTGCCCTGCTCCTCTTCTACCTCCTCGGTGTTGCTGCATGCCCACTTCTCCCTTCTAAGCCCGGGCAAAGCATCAGGGTCAGGGAGCAGCAGCAGCAGCAACAACAACAACACCAGCTCTCTTCCCCCCTTCTCTGAGCAGCAGTGCAGGTGGGTTCAAAGAAAGAGCAACCGAGAGGAGAAATGATGTTCATGTAAGGAGGGCGGCCACCTAAAACCTGGAGCTGGCAGTAGAAATTATTCGGTCGATCTGACAACTCAGAGGACACACACAAAAAGGAAGGAAGCAATTATAATAGAAGAGGTTCTCCAAGTTCTGATATGGAAGCCATTCTTAAGGGATGATAGCCGGTAAGAACATAACAGTCCAGCATCCCATGCTCATGGTGGAGAAACAGGATGCTCAAGCAGGAAGCTCACAAAATGGACCCGAGTGCAACAGCACTCTCCTCACTTGCAGCTCCCAGCAATGGTCCTACTCAGAGAAGGACTTGCTTGGGTGTCAACCTGTGCCTGGGAGGATTTATGGAGCTGGTACTTTTTCCTTCTTTACTCTTTTTTGTTTGTTTCTTTCTTTTAGATGGAGGAACATGAATTAGGGCGTGACTGGGAGAGGGATCAGGGGCAGAGGAGGGGGTGCGTGTTGGCATACAACCAAGGAAACGGGGGCAATTCGCAGGCCCCCAGCTGGCTCCAGCCCACCGGCCGGTGAGCCGGGCGATCTCCAGTCTTTGGTGCAGCATCTGTGACCCGAGCTTCAGATGCTGGGGTATGCTACTCAGCAGAGTAAACACTACTCAACAGAAGTGGCAGGAGATGGTTGAGTGAGCATATTTACAAGCAGTTTATTCAGCATACATCAGGACAAAAGGAAACATGTCCGATCCCCTTCGTGTCCAAAAGCAAGACAGCATAAGCAAAAGCTATACACAAACGGAGAGACGCGGATGGCGCTGTGGGTAAAAGCCTCAGCGCCTAGGGCTTGCCGATCGAAAGGTCGGCGGTTCGAATCCCCGTGGCGGGGTGCGCTCCCGTTGTTCGGTCCCAGCGCCTGCCAACCTAGCAGTTTGAAAGCACCACCGGGTGCAAGTAGATAAATAGGGACCGCTTACTAGCAGGAAGGTAAACGGCGTTTCTGTGTGCGGCTCTGGCTCGCCAGAGCAGCGATGTCACGCTGGCCACGTGACCCGGAAGTGTCTGTGGACAGCGCTGGCCCCTGGCCTCTTGAGTGAGATGGGCGCACAACCTTAGAGTCTGTCAAGACTGGCCCGTACGGGCAGGGGTACCTTTACCTTTACCTTTATACACAAACGGAAGTTCCCAGCAAGCTGTGCTGGAGTGTAAACAGACATGTGACACACAACAGTCATGCCTGCTCCTTAAGGTGGAACGGAATATCCCAACAGTGCGGTGTGGGCGGTCTACCCCGGGTGTTTTCACTGGGGGGTGGTGGTGACATTTGGCGCGCTGCCCGCCCGCAACTCCCAAGCCTACTCCGAGCTGTCGGGGGGAGGGAGGAGCTGTGCTGCTTTGCCGGTGGCATTCCCCCCTTCCCCCTTTGTTTTGACAGCTGGGGGAAGTTTCAGAGTTGCAGGCGGACGGTGGGCTGAATGTCCGCCATCGGCAGCTTGCTCCACCCTGGCTGCACACAAGTGGCTATCCCACACCTGGGAGGGCACCCTTCGCCCCCTCCCCCTTGGGAGTGCGCCCGCCCTGGGCAGCACGGGCATATGCTCCGCTGCTGAGAGGGATGTTGGTTTGTGATAGGCTCCTCACTGGATTCAAGTGGGCGTTCCAGGCACCCAGATGCCCAGTGTATTGTTGGCCACAACCAACACGTTTGAATGAAGTTAGCATTTAACAAAGTTTGCTGGTGTTTTGATAGCTTAGCTGTCAACGTTTCCCTTTTCTTAAGGGAAATTCCCTTATTCTGAATAGGATTCCTCACAAGAAAAGGGAAAAGTTGACAGCTATGTTTGATAGTTAGCACCAATTGCAATCATCACCCTGATGAGGAATGGCAGGTCATTTCCGATACCAAAATGATAATTTACAGAAACTGACAAGGAACAAATGAAAGATGATTATGATAAACGGAGAAATGAACTTGACAACTTAGACAAGAAGAGATCTGGGAGGATAACAACAAATGTGGATAATTGCAACAAATGTGATTAAGAATGTAGAGGTTTACACTTTGAAAACAAGAAAGTGGTTGTCATTTTGTAAATTTAAAAGATGAGATGGGATCTTGCTGGAGTTGACCAAACTGAGGCAGGCATAGCTTACTGTTTCTACTGGCTAAGTGCATGAAGCAGGGTGTGTCCTCTAAAAAGTGGCTACCCAGCCAATGTTCTGCCCCTCCTATTTATTGATAAACTCCTCAAATATTCTTGGAACCCCAAAGGCCAATTTGCAAAAGACAATCCAGCCAACAATATGGAGAAGTCTAACTTTAGCTTGGCCTTGAACCTATGTTTGGATCAGTGGCGTAGCGTGGGTTGTCAGCACCCGGGGCAAGGCAAGTAATTTGCGCCCCCTAAGCCGTGGATTTGCGCCCCCTAACCCGTGGATTTGCGCCCCCTAACCTGTGGATTTGCCCTAACCCCAGATGTTGCGCCCGGTGCGGCCGGCCCCCCCTGCACCCCCCACGCTACGCCACTGGTTTGGATGCACTTATAGTTGTAGGTAAATCTAAATGGGCTGATGAACTGAGTCAACATTTCTCAAAGATGTCTTTTCTTCCTCAGAAAATGTCAGAGAGTTTCCTTTTTTCTTGCCCACTGAGAAAAAGGAGGTTGCTTTACAGAATTTCCTCCAGGTATTCTCCACCATTTTGTGTGTGTCAGTTGCCATTTTCTTCCCATAATGCCCTGGAACGGCACTAGTTATGGGACACAGTGGAGGGGGCAATATGTTGTCCAGGCTGTCATTTGTGGCATCAGCAAAGGAAAAGAAACCATCTTGGGGAAAGATGGCCATTTTAGTCAATTATATCAAATTCCTCCCTGCCAGTCCATTTTTTCCTTTTGTGTTGTTTCTTTAAATTGTATGCCTGAGGGCAAGGACTGTCTTATTATCAATCTTTGTAAGCCAGCCTGGGAGCTGAAAAGCAAGGAAAAAATGCTTCAAATCAGTGAATAAGAAATAACGTGTCCTAAAATTTGCCCCCACCCCATCTTCAATAAGGCTCATGGACTGTCAGGTCTGATTTTCCTCCAAAGCACTTGGTGTGGCTTAAACATGGTTCCTTCTAGGCGCTGCAGCAATGCGCCACAGGTGAGCTGCACAGGGGCACTGACACGGCCGCTGCCTGCACCACAGTATACTTGAGTGCAGAAGTGCTGCCTGCGCATGAGGCAGCACATGGCACGCTGAAGGGAGTTTCTTTATGGCTCCCCCGTCCCCCCCACAGTGCAACACCTAAATTGGCCCTCTTTTCCTTTACATAAGAGGATTCATGTTACAGGCTCCCTTAACCTTTGCAATCACCAATTGATAAGTTAACTGCCTTTAACATTGGATTCAATAAAACATGCACCACTGAGAACCCAAAGTGGGTTTTTACAGAGTCACTGGTTCACATCTTATTATTAAACCCGCAGCTGACCTCCAGAGACTGCAACCATGACAGTACATATTCTGAGCGCTCTGCCAATAAAATATTTAAGAGCGCAAAGGAAGGGGGCGGGCAGGCGGAGAGAAGAGGTGGGTCAGAGGAATCCGAGAAAGGTGTGCAATGAATAAGAAAATTAACGGGACAGAGCGCAAGAAGGGGAAAGCCTTTAGCTTTGCTTCTGCTCCACGCTGAGCAATGGGGAAATAAGCCAAGCATTTTATATCCTTCCTGTCTTACTGCAGGCTATAAAATAATAAAATAGTTCTCTGCTTTCAAAAAAGAAAGAAAGAGAAAAAGCGATTACAGATGATATATAACTGACTTCAGATTAGATACCTCCAACCTGAAGCATGTCACCGAGATATCATGCCTTATC